TCAAAGTTTTATCGTCATTGATACTTAGTTCTTGATGATACTAGTAATTCCAATATTTCTGTTGCGGTCAATCTCCACACCGTTGAGTTCATATCGAATTTCATTAAACGTGAACTCCATGCAATTATTTCCAAGCGTTGTCGACATCTAACATCAACAAGTATCGTTTTTCTTTTTTACTGTCAATCTTTCTTTGATGTAGAGAAAATTTGCACGGCAACGTGTACAAATCTTGCTGTATGGGCATCTCGTCGCTATGTCCAAACGTAGTGTTAGCGTTACAGATTGTACGTGTGAGTCTCAATCTTGATAATGCAGTCATCAAAAATCGGCTGACAAGTAATATTCAGGATATCAGCCATTTCGTAAAATGAAATCCAACGATTTTAAGAATGCAACATTGGACGCAGTGAGTTTCTTTCCAGGTGTAGTCTTTCCAGTAAAAGGTGTATCTCTCATCTGTTTCGGCTGTTCGTTCAATACAAGCATCTCACGTTAGCATCGCCAAACATGTAATGTAATTGTCTTCTCCGCGAAAATCAAGCAATCAATCATTTTGATCCACCATGCGAATCGTTAGATCCGTAATGTTCCGTATGATCGGAAGGTAAATGATTTGTGTCGGTCTTTCCGATATCTGCCGGCGGTACGCTCGGCGAAAATTCGTGTATCATATGCACGTACCTGTTGTTACAGTATGCACTCGCGGTCACACAGATTACATTCGAAACATATGATATTCACGTTGATGATATTTATCGGCACGTCCGATTCCAGCACACGATTCGATGAAAATCCCAGCAGCGAGACAATGTTGTGAAGTTTTGCAAAATTTATCCGATAAGGATATTTGATTTCACTTCTCATCGTATTGTTATTGGTGCGAATAACCAATGGGAACTTTTCATCCTCCTTGTCCTTTGCATTATGAGAACGTAAAATTTCACGCTTCAGATATCGCTCTATATCACGCAGTTCACGATTCTTCGGGAATGACAATTCCTCGTTGCCATAGTAAAACTTATTGTTTGTTGAATTTACATTGGCTAAAGTATAGTATGTTTCATCAGACCGAGCTCATAATCGTTGTCACCCAAATCTATCGCTGGGAAGTAGCTCACGGCGAGGACGCTACTCTTGCCGGTCAGCGACATGTTTCAAACTGAGTTAAACAACGCAATGTCGGTCCTTAAATTGCTTGTCAACAGTTTGTATAAACTGTAGACAAAGCTGCCCGCAATTTGCTCTAACGTTGATGAGACGTGCGATTGTACTCGATTACACTGTTTGCCAGATACCATTCAAGTTCCTTCGGCGATTGAAGATTGCCGAAACGTCAAAGTACATGATGCGATTCCCTCTTTTCGCATACGCCCAATGTATATTAAATCCCTCGGCATTGTCCAAATTTACGATCTCTCGTTTTGACGTACTCCTTCGATCGGTGTACGTATAAAGATATCTCTAAAATACGGTTTATAAATTGTTGCAATTGCACATTAATAGTTACTTCCCTCGGCATTTTTAACGTTTCATCGACATTTTTTTTTTCGACACGTGATACCTTATCCACTTGTAGGAAACGAGATAAACACCGCAACTTTCCATGACGCGATTATGATGGTACAGTTCTTTCAGTTGAAGCTGCACCGCTTTGTTATCTTTTACTGCCTTGGCGACATCCGCCGCGTCACCGACCAATGACCCGAGAATGTCAAGCAGCGATAGAACAGACAGGATGCGCCGCGTTTCACTGTTGGAAAAATCCATTTGCTCTTCTTCTTCCTTTCTGTTTTCAAATCCATACCAACTTCGTTTTGGTCTACATAGCTGCCTAAACTGCTGTGGCTGCGGTTATATGAGAGTCGAATCATTCGCGATAATGCATTTTTGCATCTTCTCGGCAAGTAGTGTTGTCAGCCGCGTGTCGTTCAGAGAAATCGTTGCTGTGTTGTGCTCGCGAACACGCAGCATCTAATGAATTAATTCCTTGATCACCTCTAGCCAATCGCTTCTCCAGTCGCGTTCCCGGACAGCAAAACTGATATCCGGGAATATGTATGTATGAAAGAAAGTGCGTTTATTGCACGATTTAAGCCTGTCGATACAATTCTTTATCAAAGGCGTCGAACCATCAATATGCGTTTGATGAGTCGATAAATTGTAATGCTTTAAACATCGTCGTACCTCAGAATTTGCTCGTATATATTCTAATCTGTCCTACAATAAATCTATGCAATTTTCAAACTCTCACAGCAGTACAATTTGTATTCCAGTTCTTTTGAGATTAAACTGTGCACATCATTCGACATAACGAGAAACATTTTGATTATTAATCGATTTCGTTATACGCAGCTCTATAAATAGGCCCGCTCGCGATATCGTTCTCAGTATTTTGTGAAAAAAGAAAATATACGATTCGTGTAAATATGCACCAGTCGCGGGCGATCAAAGTGATGAATCTTGACGGCAAACTGCAAATCGAGAAAGAGATGCGCAAGTATGGCGACATGCTATCTCTATACGCGCTATCATCTGCGGACCGTCAAATTGCGGCAAGATGAACGTGCTGATAAGCCTGTTGGAAAATCGCACGGCGTATGATTTGAGAACGTGTACTCGAAATCGCTGCAACAGCCGAAATGTCGATACCTAGCGAATTTGTTAGCACCGGTTCAGGAAATCGGTTATTTTACATTTTCCAATAACAGCGGCATCATTCCACCGAGCGAGGCGCTTCCGAATTCCATCTTTATCTTTGATGTTTGACATGGCATGCGACGTCATCAAAGAGAGCGCAAAAAAGAGAGTACTTTGCAATGGGACGACACGCGGACGTCTATTGCTTCTATCTCTTCTGACAGATGTATGCAAAGATACCGAAGCATCTTATACGCGACAATACAAATCTTGATCCTGTTCAAACAGAATGGTACCAATCTGAAACGCTTATACAACGATTACGTGAATACCGATATGTCCTATAAGGATTTTTGCGATTTATGTCGTAAATGTTGGCAGCAAAAGTATGAATTTCTAGTGATTGACAAGGACAGTGCGCTTACCGGCGATGGGCGATACAGAAAAGGATTTAATGACTTTGCAATACCGGGATGTGATCAGTTGACCTCGATATGTTGACATGGACAACAGCAAAGATCAAGATAAGTGAAAAGATAACTAAGAAGATTATGATAGAAAACGAGCGATTCGATTAACAAAAAGTACCGCACTTTGAAGATTGGTAAAATAGAGGAGGATAACGCATTGGAGAGACACTTCAAATCTATTTTCGACCCGTTGAAATAGATTGTTGAAAACACTGTTGAATCCTTCAAGGATCCTATTATGACTGAATCATTCTTTTCGGGAGAAGATGAGGAATCAAAACTCAAAAGAAAACAACCGAATACTTGTATAATCCTACATAAACTTCCACGCCTGTGAAATGTTGAATAAATCGAAAACCGTACCATCGACTTTGAACGAAATGTCTGAAATAATACAACCGCGCGATTTATCGTATGACCACGTTCCCACTGCCGAAGAAATTTTCGAGCGATGAACCACTCGTAACATCTATTCGATACATGCTTCAAACATTTGAGGGCCAAGAAAAGCTGCATACAAACTATGGTCCGTAGGGACAGAAATATCTGAAAGCGGTCCTGAGAAAGCCGTCCCGATAAGAAAGCGTCAAGTAGACGTTGTGTATGGAGTTTATTTCAGCGACGAGAAAACGATGCTTAGTGACAAACGCATCACCTTGCACAAAAACGACAATATTATTATAGATGGAAAAGATACGATGAAACACCAGACTTGTATAAGTTAATTTTCATGAAATTTCCCAATGAAAATCTGTACGGATGATGACGTACAGACCTACAGGAATATTCTGCTGAACGATAAATGCTCATGACCGGCGCGGACATAGCCGGAGTAATCAAATAATAAGGGTAATAAGGAATATAAATATAAAAACATAATAGCGCCATTGGTATTGGATAAAAAAGTTGGAACGAGAATAAACAAAAGAGTGGATTTACCGCGTTCGATGACGCTAAATGATAATAAGATTGACTATATCCATTGGGATTAGCCCAACGAAATTGTGGATACGATTGCTCGAGGCTTCATGTCAGGCGGGTCACAATAGTCACTATAATGAAATTCAGTCGATTATCGAAGAGCTTCGCGAAGCCGGTCTGATTATAAATTAACTTCGTTCTACACATATCATTCAATTAACATCGCAATGCTGATCAACAAGATTGGACTATCTTGGAGGAGGAAGTGAATCGCACTATCAGCGCGGATTGCTCAGAAATGACGTGATAACGCTCTTGCATAGTTGCCGACTTTGACGCAAAGTCGCACAAGATTCGACGAATCGCGCTACTGGTGGATGATGCTGACGCAGCAAACAAACAATACGTGCAATAGAGTGATCAAGATTTGAAAGATCGTCTGAATGAAATCGAGAGAAAGATTGCAGCCTTACAATAATGTGCAGGTTATGAATTTGAAATAAACTTGAAAAGATGATTCGAGAAGTGCATCAAGCCATATAATTATTCGCAATGTCTAAGAAACATCTGCTGGGTAATGAATTGCACACTCCGACGAGAAAAAATTTTCTGCGAAGACACGTCATAGTACACGGAATATAATGATCTGTGGCAGGCGGTTGTGATCGAGATGTATCCTTATACGCTATTCAACAGAGGTTACCACTACATTCTCACCGTTATCGACGTACTGAGTAAGCACGCATGGGTCGAGCCGCTTAAAACCAAGAGCAAGACCAATGAAGTGACAAAGGCGATCGCAAAGATAATTCGAGATGATGTCCGAAAAATTTGCATACTGACAGAGAAAAGGAACTTTACAACTCGGATGTGCAGAAACTCTTGAAGAAGTAACATCAACCATTATTCTACGTATTCTATAATGAAGGCCTCGGTTTTCGAACGGTTAAACGTACATTGAAAAACGACATGTGGAAACAATTTACGCACAATGGAAATTACAAAATCATCCTACTGCATCTCGTATTAAATTACAACGCGCGCATCGAACTATTGGTATGCGTCCCGTCGACATTACCTTGCGATCGCCGACAGGCGATCTTAACCACGATTTACAATCACGTAAAAATTGCCATCCGCATCCGATACAAAGTGGGTGATTCAGTACGCGTGATCAAATTTAAGACAGTCTTTGATAAAGGACACGCCGAATTGGAGCAGGAGGCGTTTAAAATTATTAAAGTGCAACAAACTAATCCAGTGACGAATCTTCTGGAAGATTCTCGCGGAAAACCTATTGCTGAAGGAATACGAATTGCATAGTTAATGTCGTTAACCCCGACGTGTATCACGTTAAAAAGATGTTGCGCAAAAAGGGGAAAGATTTACGTGAAATGGTTGGGATTTGACAATTCATACAATTCGTGGATACATAAAGATAATGTGTTGTAAACTTATATTTATTATAAAAATATAAATATGTATTATACATATTATAAATATCATATACATATTATATTGTACATATTATATATTATATCTATTTACACACTATTATACTATTATACATACTATATTGTATATATTATACATACTATATCAGAGCTCGATAAAATTTGTACTTCTCGGCCGATTTTCGACTTGGCTCCGCCTTTTGCTTTTCCCCTACAGACAGAATGAAGCAATACGTAAGATTAAGCGCTTATGTGTTACTTCATTCTATTTTAGTTATGTAACGAAAAATGAACGAAAAAAAAAGATATAGAATGAAGTTTACAGCGTGAGCGCTCAAAGCGGATGAACCTCATGTCTGTGAGCGTTATACATTTCTAAACGTTGAGCGGCATTTGGATTGCGAAACGAGAGGTGAGGGGAATAACAGAAGGCGGAACTAAGTCGAAAAATCAGCCGAGAAGTGCAAATCTTATCGAGCTCTGTATTACATTATACATAGTATATTGTACATATTATTATACATATTATACATGTTATTATACATATTAAACATATAAATATGTTTTATTTACATCAGTAATGCCTCCATGGCAGCGTTTTGATGGAACCTGGCACGAACATACCGCTCGTCGTGCGGACTTAAAGATTTTTATTTCTGATCGTGTACATTTCATGCAATTTGAATCTTTATTCGACTTTCTGTGCGTCATTTCGATTGCATCATTCAAGCATGTAATCCTCGAATGTTATAAACCTCGCTACAATGTTGTTCTTGACGTCCTTTGCCTTCTTCATATCTTTCTTTCCTTCTATACATTTTCATTCTAAGTCCAACGAATTCGGTCATGATGATATCGTTGTTCTCGTCTTTTATAAGGGACTTTTTTATTTGCGAATGGAATGCCATATGCGTTGTCGCTCGTGTTAAATCTACTTATATCGCGTTTCATAATATTGTAAACATCGTCACATTCCATATGATATATGAGGCTATCAGTATCAGTAATATATAACATAATTTTTCGCGAAACAGCGGTGCTACGTACTCATGGTGAAACACATCTTGGATATGTCAAGAATGCACACATGTATATCGGTTTATCAAACTTCACCTCAAGCTTACGCAGTTATATCGCGATCAGATTCTCCGAACAGACGTTACGGCTATGGAAATTTGGTTTCGAGATTATTGCCTCAGCCATATCTGCCTTCCCATTGTTGTAACTTTACGTCGACGCAATCGCGTACGTTCTCCACAGTTTTGCCAAATACTGCGTTATTCATAAGTTTGTATAAATTTTTTTCAAAATCATTTTTGGCTAAAGATCTAAATTTTTTGTTTAATTCTATATAATCGCGTAGCGATCTCCATAGCCATGAAGATTGCATGAATTGCTGTATATGGTGAATCTTTGTGATACGGAGACTGTGACGAGTACACTGCTGCAGGTTACGATAATGTATGACCTAACGCTGTTTATCGCATAATGTTGCGAGGAGCTTGTCATCGTGCTTGTTGGGTGGTTTCTCGCACGTCGGACAGAATGGTAGATCAGTGCGCATTATGAAGATGTTACTAATACTCCGCGTCCACTTCGAAAATTTAGTCTGTTGCCTAACGCGATGATCGTAAAATCAAAATTTTGTATGTCGTCGATCCATTGAAAATCAGCGTAAGGCAATTAAAGAGTTGACACATTGCCATACAGTCGTATAGATTGTTGACGTCATAGTACATCAAGTACGATCAAGCTAATAATTGGTGGATAAACATTGTTTTTTCAGAGGATAAATATGAATAATTATAATATAACATTTTACAATATTGGAAGTATAAATTAGTTCGGTCCGTTTTTTTGTGCTCAAAAATGCATTTATTTCAAAACAAAATGAATGAACAGATCAATTAAAATATTGTCCATCGCTGTCTACTTTTTCCTATCTCTCAGGCAATTTTCGAATTCCATCTCGAAAAAATGACTCGTCTTTGGAGGCGATCCAATTTTCGATTTCTGCGAAAGAAATGAACAGGTTGCTGCATCCTTTGGAACAACCAGTAATCAGAAGGAGTAATATCCGGAGAATACGGCGGGTGCGGTAATCCCATTTGAGCGTTTCCAAATATTTTTTTACGACTTCAGTGATATGAGGCCGAGCATTGTCATGAAGAAGAATAACTTTAGCATGTCTTTGCTCGTATTCCGGCCGTTTTTCTCACAATGCACGGCTCAAACGAATCAATTGTAGTCGATACCGATCGCCCGTAATGGGATCGCCAGATTTCAGCAGCTCATAGTAAACAAGACCCTTTTCCCACCAAATACAGAGCATGATCTTCAAACCATGAATGTTCGGCCGCGATGTTGATGTTGAGGTCGATGGCAACGATTGACTGGATTTAGCGTAGTATTTTTTCTTCTTGGGATTTTCGTAGAATATCCACTTCTGATCTCCAGTCACAATCCAATGCAAAAAACTTTTTCTCTGTTGTCTTTGAATCAGCTGTGAAATTCGCAAGTGAAAAATCGCTTTTCAACGTCTCTCGATTTCAGTTCATAAGGTACCCAATTTCCTTGTTTTTGAATTATTCCCATGGCTCTCAATCGTACAGAAACGGCTTGTTATCCCCAATGATTCTGCAAGCTCCTCTTGTGTTTGACTCTGATCTTCTTCGAGTAATGCTTCTAATTCTTTGTCTTCGAATATTTTTGGCTGTTCAGAGCGAGACTTGTCTTCAACGCTGAAATCTTCATCCTTGAATCGTCAAAATCATTCCCTACATGATTTATCAGTTGGAGCAGTGTCACCATAAACTTCGACAAGCATTCGATGGGCTTCAGCCGTACTTTTCTTTCAATTAAAGCAGAAAATCAAAACCTCCCGCAAATGCTGTTTGGTTAACACAAAATTCGATTTCAAACACAGTAAAAATAAAGGTTTTTGTATGAAACTCAAAGCGATATAAACTGAATATTAGCAGACGTTTAACCTCTCTGAAACCGTCAAAATCAGCTGTCATTATGAACCATTCACAATAGCTGGAGCCATCTTTAGGGAAACGGACCGAACTAATTTGTACTCCCAATATTTGCATCATCACTGAATTATAGATTTCACATTTTTCCAAGAAATATTGTCTTCAATTTTCGATTCGAACATGAATTGGTCACATGATTACAAAGTCGCTTTGTGATTGTTTGCGTCTGCGTCTCAATTATGAAAAATAGACAGATGTCTAAACGGGAATCGCCAGTATCTCTTTTCTAATTGGTCGAAAAATAATTGCAGGCGCAACCGCGAACGCAGACGCAATTTCCAATCGTTAGTGTGATACAGACATTACGCGCGCGTCATCAAGAGCGATACCATCGCGCGACTGTATCATCGCGCATTGCGAATAATTATATAAGATAAAATAAGATAAAATAAAATAAATAAATAAGTAAAACATTTCGCGTGCGGGAAGAGGATAGCAAAATATAAAAAGATAATAAATATGCATAGTAAGTATAGCGCGTGGTGGAGAGATCAGCGGCGGACCGCGCCCGATGGCAGTGGCGGGGATCGGCGGACCGCATTCTACCCCGCGCCACGTCTTCGCCGCGACGCGGACGCAAGTTTCAGCACTTCGCTACGTAATTTCTCACTATGTAATTTTCTGCATCCGGAACATCTTCGTCCGAGATATCCTTTCCGCATCACCTTCCCCGCGATGTCACCTACGGTGATGTAATTTTCCTCCTCCTCCCTGTGACATCACCCCCTCACCTAGTGATGTCACCTCCTGTGACGTTACCTCCCTCCTCCCGTACAGAAACGTCACCCTCTCCCCTTCCCGCGGACCCCCCTCCCCTCCTCCCACCCTCAGAAGACCGAGTTCTAACCCAAGTTAGAAGGGGCCTTATTTACCTACTCCCCGATGATAATTTTCTTGGAAACCGCGAAATCGGTGACATATCACGCGGTAAAAAAAGCGTCGATAACAATTTTTTCTAGGAAGATCGATGACACGACATCGACTGCTTCGACTGCTAAACAAAATGTTATATGAAACGGAACCGCTCGCGAATTGCTTCTGAGAAGAACACAAAATCAGTAAGACAGTGACGCGGTTAGAGAAGCGTCAATAATGATTTTTTCTAGGCGAAGATTGATGACACGCCATCGATAGTGCGACATCAATAAAGTTGGAGAAAGGGACAAAAAAGCAAATGAAATATTTGGATTATAAGCGCTTCATTCCAGTTCTACAGTTGATGTCCTAAAAGATGAACGAATCGATAAGAATAATGGAAAAAGTATGGCTAACCATGGCGAATGTTGAGAACAGTCAATATAGTCGAGTATATATAAATGCGGATCCAGAACAGTTCGCGAATATTAAAGATGAAGTGTTCGAAGTATTTGAAGAAATGGAAGTAGATTTTGAGGAAATAATGGACTAAGATTCCGAAGAAGTGTTATCCAATAATATTGGTTATGCTGATTTGAGCGAGGACAATATCGATCGTCGAGTAAAATTCGTGTTGCCTCCAGAAATCCGTGCATTGAACGATCGTACTGCGCGATCTACTGTTACTACACAATAGGTGGTACTTTAATCGTATGTGCATTATGTATGACTCATTTGGCTGATATTGGAGGGATGTATCTCGTCAAGAAGCACGAGATCGATTATATTGATGAACTAGGCGGTGGGTTTTGCATAAATTGCATAGTGCTAATATACATTATGCTAATATACATTATAAATTCCGTGCAACATGTGTCCAATCGGCACAGTAAAAAAATTATTGTGAACAGTATTGTGAACAATATAATGAACAAAACATGGATCCGGATGAGATAATGAAACGAATGATGATGGA